AAAAAGATATTCTCCTTGAGTTTAGTGCTCACAGCCTTAGATTTTCAAGCTAATTCCATTACAAGGCAAAATGTCATCTTCATCTAAGAGTAAAAGCTGAATGCGCAAAGAAGGTCATATGCAAATTGATTAAAGTACCATCAAAAAAGGATCGGTGAACTATGCCTTCAGCAGTCAATTTTTGGTATTGTTTGGCCCATGCTAAATGTATGCCCTTGTTTTTTGTGGAAGAAGTGGTTTGAAAACTTCTAATTTCCCTTTGAATACACATTTTTTGCCTGTGATAGGGAGGTCTTTTTTACTTGGCCGTGAATCTTGCCAACGAAAACCTTAAACAAAATTGGGTGAATACAACTTATAGAATATAAAGAGATATTATAATTAGTTTACCAAGGCACTTTTGTTGGTCCCAGTTAAAGAGATACCAGGTGCGCACTTTGTCCACTACCTCTTCGGGTGTCTTTAACTGCTTGATGTAGGCGAGTGATTTATCCATTGCCTTTCTATAAGCATCCCGATTTGCATTACGAGAGTCAAGAATGTCAACTATCTTTTAAAAAAGAAGCAAAATGCATGAAGTTAAAGCAAGAGTGTATAAGTTTAATTTTGTAATTGAATTAAATGTGAGCGGTTAGAGAAAACATTTCCTTAATTCTGTTGAAAAAAATAAAATCATAAAATAATTTATCGCATTATGGTTTAATTTGGTTAAAATTTTCTGAAAACATGCAATCGCTACACACGAGAAGGAATTCAGTGTAAACATATATTTGAGATGTATTCACCCAACTTCATTTAAGCTAGTGAAGGACTGGTAGAAGAATTTTCCCACAATGATTAGAGTTGAGCTGGCGTTGCCATTGAATTTAAATTGGAAATTAAATTAGGGAAATTCAATGGAACCGTCAGCTCTACTCATACCATTATGGGAAAATTCTTCTAGCAGTCCTTCAGCACCTTAAACGAAATTGGGTGAATACATCTTATATTACTGATTTACTGGTAGTCTCGAAACAAAATTTAAATGCGAAAAACTAAAAATATATTTCTTTATCCCAATGCATTTTCTTTTTTAGAATTCTTACTCGATTCTTTTATTGAGGACAAGAAGTATGTATGCATTTGTATGTTTGTACACAATGCATCTGGCTTTACTTTATAAATGAATATAAAACTAATAGGTCCTTACTGGTTGTTAGACATGGGACAGAGTAATCCTAGCCTGTTTTTCAAGTAAGCAAGATATTTGCTGATTATTAAGTAATAGACTAGAATTTATATACGCAAATTGTGCAAAAATACTCTACAGCTAATCGGAAGTAAACGGTTTCAAATCTAGACCTTCTTGTAATAAAATGTTTTTTACCTATTTACATTACTCTAACTTTAGAATTAATTTTACGTTTGATTGACTGCTAACCTATAATGTTTTCTCATCTAAATTCTGTTTTTTTTCAATCAATTACTTCGAGCTCACCGAATAAGAGTGTTATATTCACATGTGAAATCGAACTAAGCGCATACTGCAGTTCAACGCGATTCATCCGTCCTCTTCTTGTGAGATCGACATAATAATCACTTCTTCATGCACTTTCATACTAAATAATTAGTGCTAAAACACTTTAAAAGATTCTATTTTTAATTAATTGAGAAGAAAATTTAATACATATTCTGTGAACGCTAAAATAGCATAAGGGCATGAAAGAACTTAGAGTTATGCTCTAACACAGGTCTCAATAACAACCATAGCGGTATTAGGGTGTAGATATAAAGATATATTGACAAACTAATTAGTTCCTGTTTAAAATAGCCTAGCGCTTGTAACTCATAATAAAAATGAGTTTCAGAACATAAAAGCTAGGCAAAAGCTTTTTATTTGTTGAAAAAGGACACGCAGATTATTCGAGGCACAAGTTGTATTGAATTTCAATAAAACGACGCCATGATATTACAACATTAGGCGACCTAGAATGATTACACCTTTTTTGATTAAGCAGAAATACCCACGAACCTGGCAAAATTTAGCCTCTGAGGATATTAGAAACTAAGCCTAATTGACGGAATAATTTATCTTGTTAAAGTTAGTTTTCTGTTAATTAAGAATAACAGAATATTATTAAACTAAGTGTTGAAATATGTCTTCCAAATGATTATATATAATCTTCACCAGACAACAAATCCAGGGCATAATATTTATTTTGGAAAATTGGTGCAGGCAGCAAAAGGCTAATGACTAGAGCTATTAATATTCTATATTTAAGTTTTTATATCGTATTTGCCCAATCCATAATGCAATGCGCATTTCGCCCAACCAATGAAGCATTCACAAGTTGTTTTGTCTACAGGCTTTCGCAATAACACTCCAAATGTTAACGAAACCTGAATTTCATAACGATCAGGTCAGCGACAAGGTTGACATAGCTTTTTAGAATATGAGAAGAATATTCTGACTCTTTACGTTTGAATGGATTGCTTTATGGCACTCTTTAAGGGGGATTGTTTTTATGGAATACTTCGGTTAAATAATAATAATAATAATAATTGACAGATCAGATCTGATTAATTGTATTTTGTGGAAGCCATCGGAACTAGTAACATTTACCTGGCCGATAAGGATGGCATTCACATACACGCCAATCAGCCAGTAGGTTGTCATGAACAAGAACTCATATGAATTGGTTGCCGCAGGAAGGTTACCAATTGAAGTGGCAGTCTTCATGGCCACGTAGAACGAATAAATGTAGCTAGTAAAATGAAATAATAAATAGGCATTTCGCAGATGAGTGTCTATCGTAGTCATTTATAAATAGATGCACACAAAAGGGATGTTGAATTGTAGAAAGCATTTGAGAATAATATGAAATTTGCTGAAAGTTTGCTACTAAGTGCAATCAGCAAGTTTATCAGAGCTGATCCAAAACACTTAAAAGATAATTCCAAGCAGAGCAAAATCTATACGGCAAGGTTGAGCACTGCATTATCTACCCAGCTAAGCTCATAGATGCTATTGACATACTCGAGTTAATCACATTTACGCAAGATGGTAAAATCGAGAGATCAGCTTTTTCTCGAAATTATTTTCTAATACATTTTAAAATATAGCAAAAGTTAAATTTTACCAAGTATTAGCTGAGGTGCCATTTATAAAACGCAGAGCAATTTGATTAAATTGATTGTAAATAAAAAAAGAATACTTCTTAAATCAAGTTGCCTCAAATTAAGAATATGTGAATAAAGTATCGGCATAGTTCTTCAAACACTTAGCGATGGCTTTGAATTGAAACTATCCCATGATTTTTAGCACTGCAAAATAAGGATATGTTAATTTGGAGTTCCTGAAATTCTATCTTAGTTATAGGTGTTATTTTAAATACAAAATATCAGTACGCCTTTCTTCTGATGTATTAAGTAAGTTATCCTTTTTTTCTTTTTGATAGAGATAATGTATTACAATAAATGCAAACTTTGGATAACTAATTCACCGTAGTCATTTTCTCTAATCTTAATTTTATTAAATAAATAATAAATGGCATTATTTATTTACAGATTCGGATGATAGTAAAACCGTTCATTTTTAAAGTAATGCTTTGGCAAGAAAAAAAACAACTTTTATTGTGCATCATCAATAATATATTCAAAAATCTTTACGCTGAATTTTTACAACCACAATACGTCCAACTAGAAGATGAAAATCCTTCCCATCGATTAAAGGCGTAGTAACCACAGGCTTCTATGTGTATTATAAAAGTCATATAACACATAGTCTGTATTAGTCGAATCGCATAACCTGCATTCATTCTTTCGTCGATCTGTTCGAACGTCTCCCAAAAAGTTGGCATCTAAATTGTAATAATAAAGCATATTTCATATGCAAGTTTTGAAAATATACTCCATCCGATGCACAAGTTAAAACTAGTAAAAAATGTTGAATAGAGGCAATTTTATGATTTATGCTTTATAAGGTAGAATTAAATTATTTATAGAGGTAGACTGACCTCATTTTCGCGAATTACTCATGCGTCAGGGAGAATTAGTTCGGCGCACCTTTTTCGAATTCATCTGCTATATTAGTTATCATAATTCCCAGCGTTAGACTGTGTACTTGGTACATACTCCGACGTTTCGCCGTTATCCTAATCGACCTCATCATCAATTCTTAACAGATTTTAGCAACAAGCTATAACTTGTCAAAGAGACAAGTGAAGTCAATCTCTTTCATTTTTCTCTGACGAATTGCAACTTGGTGCTGAGTATTGTAGAGCACATTGACGATGCCGACCATGATACCAGAGAAATGTCTGGCACTCTACCAAATTCACAGTCTAACGCTGATAATTATGATAACTACTATAGCCGAGGACTTCGAAAAAGGTGCGCCCAACTAAGTCTCCATAGCAACATGACAAAGTCGCGAAAACGAGATAAGCTCAT